TATATATATTTTTTTTTTTTTTTTTTTTATTAATAAATTTATTAGTAACTTACATCTTGTTTGGTATTACAGCTTTTTCCTTTTTAATTGTTGCAGCTTGAACAAAATGCTGTATACTGGTGGTAAATTATTCTTGTCAGCTAAAGTACCTGAAACATACAATTATGTACCAAAGTAAGTACACTTCCATGTTTTCTTTACTAATTAATAATAAAATCATGATTTTATGGTATGGTACAGTGGCGGCGCCAGGGGGACGCTAGGGGGCGCTATAGCTACCCCTAGAAAAGTTATAGCACCTCCATAGCACCCCCAGGAAATATTTAGATTTTTTTCTTCATCTAATTTAATATTTTAAATATGTAGTTGTGGCATTTTCTTCTAAAGACAAATATATATAAAAAGAATCAACCATTCTAATTTCAGTAAAAAATAAAAATAAAAAAAATAATTCAACCTGATTTGAACTTTGCGTATTATTACTTCCGGGAAGCAATTGAGAGGAACACGCTGCGCAAATATGGATCGTTTTTTGCAACCAAAAGTTCCACGGATGGAATTTGAGAAGGATGCATTTTTGGAAGCAGAGTCCGACCAACAAAGAAATATTAATCTGGATGAAGAAGATAAACTGTGCAGTTATCCTTCCACTGCTGCTGAGAATGCTAACAGTGTTAGCACTGGACAGCTAGAAGATCTAAGCAGAAGTCCTCAAGATGGACCAAGACGACCACTTCTGCAAAAATACCCATCACGCTTGTTTGGAGTGCAACAGAGAAGTTTTAGTAAAGGCTGGCTCGATCAATATTTGTGGTTAGAATACAGCGTGAGTAAAGATGCCGTGTTTTGTTTTGCTTGTCGGCATTTTCTAAAAGGAGGACACAGGTTCCATCTTGAGCCAGCATTTACCGCGCTCGGCTTTAACAACTGGCGGAAAGCAGCAGCGTCATTGAAGAGCCATCATGAAAGCGCCGGACACAAATTTGCAATGGAAGCGTGGAGTGAATTCAAGTTTAAACAAACGAGTGGATCAAAACTCCCCAACATGCTCGACAAAGGACATTCTGCATTGGTTCAGGAGAACCGGAGGTACATGATGGGTGTTGTAGAAAGTTTGCGCTACACAGCTTGTCAGGGAATCGCACAGCGCAATCACAGTGAGAAACAGGATTCAGCTAACAAAGGTAATTTTCGTGAGATGCTTGATGTGATTGGAAAATTTGATCCCAATGTCCAAAAAAAGCTGACAATTAATCCATCTAATGCTAAGTATGTTCATCATGACATACAGAACGAAATATTTAATGTTATGGCTGAAATGATAAGAAAACAAATCAGCAATGAAGTGAAAGAAGCTCAACACTTTGCTATTTTGGTGGATGAAAGTAAAGATATCAGCAAAAAAGAACAAATATCTGTTATTGTTCGTTATTTGCAGCCAGATTCAGAGAAGGTGGTGGAAGAATTTTTGCATTTCACCCCAGCAGAAGGATTAGATGCAGACTCACTTTTTGACTGTATCAAAATGACCCTCAGTCGTTGTAATATTGATATAAATTGCTGTGTCGGACAGTGCTATGACGATGCTGCTGTTATGTCCGGGTGCAACAATGGAGTTCAAGAAAAGTTGAGAAAAGAGGTGCCGCAAGCTGTGTACATTCACTGCCATGCTCACAGGCTGAATCTTGTGTTAGTAGACTGTGTACATAATGTTGATGCTGCAGCCGATTTTTTTGAGATATTGCAAATGCTTTACAAGTTTTTTTTCTGGGTCTGTTGTTCATGATCTTTTTTTGAAGAAGCAGGAAGAACTTGTGTCAGCTGTACAGCGCCTAGAACTTAAAAGACTCAGTGACACCCGCTGGGCGTGCCAGTATGATTCCATACGTGCTGTCAAAAAAACTCTCCCAGCTGTTATAGCTACGCTGCACGATGTTGTTGACCAGAAAAATGCTAAAAGGAGGACGGAGGCTAAAGCTCTCAGTGCACTTATAGATAAGAAGTTTGTTCTGCATCTTGTAATTTTTGAGGATATTTTCAGAACAACAAAATTCATGTCTGATCAGCTACAGTCTCCTAATTTAGATCTAGTAGCAGCAAATGACCTGGCTCATTCTGTAATAACTGCTTTAACAGAAAAACGCACAGATGACAAATGGGAGACACTCAGAAAAGAAGCAGAAGAACTTTGCAGCAACACAGGAATAGCAACAGAGACTGTACATCGGCAGAAAAGACAGACTCAAACAGCTAAACATCTAGAGCACTTTATTGTGGATGCCTCAATAGAAAGAAAAGGTGCAGACAGCACGGATGACCTAAAAACAAAATCATTCTATTCTGTTATAGACAGGATGCTAATGGAAATGAAACAGCGTTTTTCTTCAGAAACTAATGAAGTACTGAAAGGTTTGCCAGCTCTAAACCCCAAACACCCATCATTCCTTGACAAAAAATGGATACTGCCTATGGCCTGTCTTCATGGAGTTAACGAGGAGAACTTGTCAGCTGAGCTCCACCAGGTTCGCCGGCTGCTGAAAAGGAAAGAAGAACTGGGACTTATAATCAACAACACACAAGACTTCCTATCTGTGATGCGGCCCTACAAAGATGCATTCCTGGACTTGTATAAGCTGATATCCATATCTTTGACTCTTCCAGTAACATCAGTGAGCTGTGAGCGCAGTTTTTCTTGTTTGCGTCGTTTGAAGAACTACCTAAGAAACAGCAGCGGAGACAGTCGAACAAGTGACCTGGCACTTCTTGCTATCAATCCTTTAAGAACCAGGACCCTGGACAGTGACAGGATTATTGATGCTTTTGCCCTCAACCACAATAACAGGCGGATTGTCCTGTTATGAAGACTTCTGATGGTGAGTGAATGATTTCAATCTTCTCTGACTTTGTAATGCATTCAGCATTGTGGACTGAAATTGTTTATGTGATACATCTGGGGAAACAATGTGAATTTGTTGTAACAGTTTGCATACTAAGATCTATAAATATGGCAAGTGTGTCACGTTTGTATATGCTTTAAATTAATTGCAGAGTACCACATTATTCACTATCCACTGTATTGGTGACTGCTGATGTCAGAGTTTTCAGTGCACCTGTGTGTGTGTGTGTGTGTGCGTGCACGTGTGCTTGTGTTTGTGTTGATAACTCTAGGGAAGAAAAATAACCTTCATAGCACCCACAGTAAAATGCTTAGCCTCCCCTTAGCACCTGCTGAAAAAAATTTCTGGAGCCGCCACTGGTATGGTATAAAGTTTATTCATTTAAAAAAAAACAAAAAAAAATTTAAATGAAAGGCAGCAGAAAGAAGAAAAAATCTTATTATATCTGCCCCTTTTTTCAAACAATTAGTTCAATCATAATAATCTTCAAGTAACAGAACAAAACGAATAACTCTTTCTAATTTTTCTAACTCTAATACAAAACACACTAAGCTACTTCATATATACTTTTAAGTTTTTAAGTTTAAGTTATATATTTTAAGGTTGTTTAACATTAGATATCTTCAACTTCTGATAAGAGACCACATTACAGACATGCCAATGTGTGTTAAACAATAACTCAATG